TGTTCAGCACCACTGTCCCATCCCAGGGACTACAGGCGAGCCGCCATCAGCTTCAACAGCGCCACGACACAAAGATCATGACCCATGCCGTCCAGCATGCGAGGAGCTGTACTACACATTGATTTCCTTGATTGACGCATGCCCAGGCATCTGGGCATCCTACGATTCAGCTGGGAGAAAACATTACTATCAGTTGCAAAACTTTACTCCAATGATGCACATGCCCTCACCTGGGTGGTCTATGAACAGCTCGTAGACAATATCGACGATACAGCGGAGGCCACTGAGGCAAACCAGTTGCGTGTCGTGCAAGAGCGTGCTCTGCTGAATTCTCATCGTGTCGGACCTCGCCCGGGCAATGCGGATACCATCCAGCAGTGCAATGGGTGGCATAACCAGACCGCCCTGGATCGCATCGGGGTTCCGCCTGAGCCGCCAAGCGTTCCGCAGGCCGCCTCAGCGGGAGTGTTGCCAGCATCGCCACGCGAGGCACCACCTTCTGAGAAGGAGCCAACGCCGGCCGCGAGGCCCGCTGCAGAACCATCTGCAGCCGAACCCGCGACGACACCGGTACCTCCGCCCAGTGCGAACAAGCCGCCATCGCCAAACCCACCACCGAAGGCCATGCCAGCAAGGCCCCCAGACACGGGACCGCCTACATATTCCGCAGAGAATGCTGACATGGCTACGGTACCGGAGGCAACTCCTGCTGACGACGTTCCCGCGTTCGCTCAGCAGTTGGATAACATGCGCGTGCTTCCATGGCAGGACTGCTGCGAGGGATCTTGCCATGAAGAACCGAGTCAATTCTCTACGTTCGACAACACATGCACTCTTCGTGAGCATAAGCTTCGTGCGCGATACCCAGATCATCGCTACTACGTGCCCCCCCCCCCCACTTCGGGGCGCGACCGCGCCCGGAGGCGCGCAGTGCATCACTGACAACGATTGGGCAGCTCAGTTAGATTATGACGACTGCGTGATCACACACGCCCCAGATATCGACCACTCTGGCTGCTTCCCCAGAGTACAAATGGATTTCTCTCCCACCATACAAAGACAGGCCTTACGGCCCCGACCTGATATTGACGGAATATCTCGGCGACCCCACGTACATGAGCAAATATATCACGACTATGCTTCGCCATATAAATTACAACAAGCACTTCAGCAGCGATCAGTTCACTGATCGACGGATCAACATATGGAGGAGGCGCGCAAGGGTTGGCTGGAAATTTGCCAGCACATGGAAATCCTTCGAGGAAATTGTGGAGTGGACATTCCGCGACCGTCGTGATAGGAGCAGCGGTCCATCCGCAGATGCGGCCATGGCGCACTTCATAAAAGACGGTCATCCCGCCGGATACGAGAGCTGGACGGATGATTACCCGATCTTCATTCGTCGTGCGTTCCAGACGCGCATTGATCCAGAGAAGAACAGGACCGAGATCTACGGTAAACCAATATCCGCCGGGAGCAATCCCTGCTGCTTCGATTGGAGCAGCGTCATTGCCATTCGTTGCGTAGGAGGACACAGTTCGGTCAACCCACGCTCCCAGCCATGGAATTTGGGTTGGGAAAGCTTACAATGGACCGACGTAAAATACCTCCATCACGGCACAACGTCCCGTGCGTGGAGCAACATTATGACAATGGGAATCATCCCCGGATACAGAGATCCGTCTCAGAGAGACAGAATGCATCATGAGGGCGGCCAGGACATTCTCGGCGCCACCCAGGCCAGCCGCGGGCCCGACGCCAGCGGCCCCTCCGAGGCGGGCAACCACGCCTCCCCCGAGGCCCCGCGGGCGCGAGACCTTCGGCGCCTACATCGCGCGCGTAGTCTGCGGAGCCTCCTACAGCTCGGCGGCCCGGTCGATCGCGGGCCGCCGTTCCGGCAGGTTGCGCCCGCGTGATCGAGGTCGCCGTGAGAGGCGAAGGCTGGGCCGCATCCGTTCGGGCCTTGGCCCCGACACAAGTGCGCCCATGCCGCGCACCTGAAGGACGTTGAGCCAGAGATGGGCCTGAGCTGCGAGCGTTGCTCTGTTTTGTTTGTGCCCCCCTTTGCACGGGTTTCCTGACCGAGGGGCCTACGGGGGTCTGCCGACGGCCGTGGGGTGCTGGGCCTGCTTTCCCAGTGGGTGGCCTGGCGCGGCTGCGTCGTTTGCCCCCGCTTGGAGCGAACCTGACTGGGTCTCTCAGGGGCCCGGGGTGGGTGCGGCCCCTGGAGGGCCCGGGATCCGCGCATTGGGGTGCTGGATGGGCGGGGCCTCCAGCGCGGCCGCCTCCTGCGCGCGCCGCGGCGCTGCGGGCTCCGCTCGGCCAGGCGAGGCGACGACACCCCTGGCGCATGCACACACACGCACACGCACACGCACACGCACACGCACACGCACACGCACACGCACACGCACACGCACACACACACACACACATACACATACACAAACACACACACACACGCACGCACGCACGCACGCACGCACGCACGCACGCACGCACGCACGCACGCACGCACGCACGCACGCACGCACGCACACACACACACACACACACACACACACACACACACCTACATAAACACACACACACACTCACACACGCACACACACGTTTTCGCGTCGGCGGCTGGGCAGAGGGCGACTGCTCCAGCGGATAGGCAACAGGGGACGTGCTGCACGCAAATTAAGGCCGCAACGCACGGAAGGAGGAGGAGGAGCCCCGGCGCGACAGGACGGGAGGACGCCGGGCCACTCAGAGCTGCCGGCTGCGCCGGGAGGAGCGCCGGGGGTGGGGGCAGCGCCAGCACAGGCTGCAACGAACTGCAGTGAGCTGAAGCCGGGGGGGGCAGCCAGGAGCTGCAGCTGGTGGTGAAGAGAAAACGATGCGTAGCCCGACCCGGTGGACCGATCACAGTCCAGGGATGAGCCACAGCGCCGAGCTCTGCGGGCCTGCGAGGCGCGTGCGAGGGCATGGGGGAAGCCAGGTTGGACCAGCCCCCAGCAGCAGGCACTGCGCCGCGGGCGCAAGGGCAGGTGGTGGACGGCACAGAGCTGGAAGTGGCTGAAGCAGGCGCCGAGCGGCACAGAACAGTAGCAGTGGAAGGGCAGCCGTGGGGGCGGTGCCCGACCCAGTGGACCAAGGCGCGGTCCAAGGGAGAGTCAAAACGCCGAGGCCTGTGGGCCCGCGACGCGCGGGCGTGAGCACACACACACACACACACACGCGCGCGCCAGCGCGCACGCACACGCACACGCAAACGCACACGCACACGCACACCACGCGTACGCACACGCACACGCACACGCACACCACGCACACGCACAACGCACACGCGCACGCGCACGCGCACACGCACGCGCGAACACGCACACACACGCACACACACACACACACACACACACACACGCACCCACACACACACACATCCACACACCGACACACTAATTGACCCATTCACCCACACACCCACACATCCACGCCCCCCCCCCCCACACACACACACACACACACGCACACACACACACATCCACATCCACATCCACATCCACATCCACATCCACATCCACATCCACATCCACATCCACATCCACATCCACATCCACATCCACATCCACATCCACATCCACATCCACATCCACACACACACACATCCACACATCCACACATCCACACCCACGCCCACGCCCACGCCCACACTCACACCCACACCCACACCCACCCACCCACACTCACACACTCACACACACACGCACGCACAAACACACACACACACACGCACACACTCATGCACACACATCAACCATTGCAAGCGCGTTGACGGATATCATGGAGTCGTATCGTCCACTCGTGGGCCAGATTGTACTCCTCAGCAGGTTCCTACACGGCCGCAGCCCGTCGCAACCCGCTATGGCGTCTTCGTCACGGGGCATCGTTGTCTTCCGAATTTACCGCATCTCAAGCCCATCCGCTGCCTTCGACTGCATGAAACCTCTGCTCGTCATGCCCTTCGAGTTGCCCTGGTGTGCAGAGGTCGCCATTGGCTGATGCGCCTCAACCAGCTTGGCTCTGCCCTCCCGCTTCCCATGCCGCGCCTGTTCGCAAAGCCTGTGCGGCCTCATTGCCAGACGACTCGTGGCCGAAACAACTTTTTGGCGAACGGCTTGGCCTTCGTTCGCTCGCTCGCTCCTCCCTCATCCCTCCCCCCATCTCCTCCTCCTCCTCCTCCTTCTCCTCCTCCTCCTCCTACTCCTCCTCTTCCTCATCCTCATCATCATCATCGCCTTCCTTCTTCTCCTCCTCGCATTCCTTCTTCTCCACCTCCTTCTCCTCCTTCTCCTCCTTCTCCTCCTCCTCCTCCTCCTCCTCCCCTTCCTCCTCCCCTTCCTCCTCCTCCTCGTCCTCCTCCTTCTCGTCCTTCTCCTTCACCCTATCTTTCCTCCTCCTTGCCCCTTCCCTCCTTTCCCCACTGGCTCTCTTCGTTCTCAGGCAACGGGGGCCGTGACAGTGGGCGTCCGGGCCCCCCACGCGCACGGCAGTCTATGGGGCCTCCTTGAAACGCCTCCCAAACCTTTCATATCGGGGGAGGAAAAGAAACCGATACCGCTGCTCGTCCTGGAGAGTCCTTGTCACCACGGCTGGATTCTCTTCAAAGTTCCCGTCAGAGCGTGCGCCGGGAGAGGTCTCGGGAGTAGCGGTATTGGTACCTTTTTGTCCCCCACTGCTGGTTTGCAGGAGATCTGAGGTTCGGCAGATTCCTCCCCCTATGAAAGTCCCGAATAGCATTGTGTATCGGCTTCGTAAGACATGGTGACATTCCCCTTGGGACTCCTCTCCCACGTTCGCTCCCTCCCTGTTTCCTCCTTTTTGAAATTTTGGGATGACGAGGGAACTATGAGGAGAATGAGGAGGAGGGTACCAGGGTTCCTGGTTATCCTGAGGTACCTGGCCATCATCAGCACATGAATTTGCTCTGGATGTTCTTCTTTCGCGCCCTGGACATGATGGAGCGCGCGGGGGCCGGCTTGGGGTTCAGCAAGCTCAGGCTCGGGGTAACGTCGCGAGGAGGAGGAGGAGAAGGAGGAGGAGGAGGAGGAGGAGGCTTGGCACATCATGTGGCTTAGCACATCAAGGAGGACGTAAGGGTGCCAGCGTCCGGTTGGATGAGGCCCCCCGTTGTGCGATGTGCGAGTGGTGCTTGGATGTGGGGCTGCGTAGCGATTGTCGTGCACGAGTCCTGGCGGGCACTTTAACAAAGTGCTCCGCATCGCGGTTGGATACCGCGGCCCTTTCTGTTTTTGTTTTGGCCGCGAGAATACAGCGACTTGTCGGCATTTGTGGCAACACCGCGGCCGTATTCCCTTGCTCATGTTCTAAAGGAACGCAAGCATTCATTCTTTGAGCGGGTCAACGCCGACCTCACAGTGCCCTCTCCGCTGCCATCACCGTGCGCGGCAGCTCGACGCCCTTCTTCGATTGCGTCTGCTCTCCTGCGCTGGCCTGCCCAGCGGTGGAGTGCCGCTGCTCGACTGGCGAGGCTCGCTGGCTTCTGCCCAGCCGACAGGCTGGTCAATCGAGTTCGTGGTCGTGCTCGTGGTGGGTCGCTTCGCGTACGGCAGCGTCGTTGGCGGCTACTGCTTCAAGAGCTCGCCGACGGCCCCCGTGGTGCAGCCTGTACCCGCTCCAGCATCGCTTCAGGAGGCCGCGGACACTCTCGACCTCGCGAGTGCGGCGACTACCCAGGCGAGGAAGTTCCGCCTTTAGGTGGAATGGCTGCTCGCGCCGCTGGACAGTTCCACTACTTTCGGTACAACGTCGGGGCGCCCGCTTTCCTCCACGAGAGACTCACTCTGCTGCCTGGGCACATCCTTACCCCTGACGATGAGGTATATGCTGAGAGCGACTCGGCAGGTGGTGACTCGAGAGCTGTGCATGACTCGGCGGGCCAAGGCGACGCGATCGTCGGCGTCGCCGCCAACAAGCTCTACAAGTTCGGGCGGCTGCCGTCTGCAGCCGTCGCCTGGGCTGCTGCGCGGAGCTGCGTCGCCCAGGGCCATGGGCCTCGGGCGCCTTCGCCCTTCATCCTCGAGCTCAGCGCCGACAACGTGCTGGGCGTGGCGAAGGGGGTCCTGGCCGTGTTCGACCCGCTCGGAGCGGCCCCCGCCGCCGCAGCGCCTGGCGCCCTGGCCTTGGCTGGCGCGGCCGCGCCCCCCGCGGGCGCCCCTGGGCCGCCTGCCGCGTCTGCCGCTGCGCCTGTGGGCGGGCTGGGCGCGCTGGCCGCGGCGCTCGGTGCGGGGGGGGCCGCCCTGCCTGCCGCCGCTGGCCCTCCGGGCGCCGGCGCCGCCGCCGCGGCCCCCGCGGCCCCAGGCGCCGCAGGGTCTGATCCCCGCGTGCTGGCCACAGTCCTCGACGCGCGGGGGGTGCGGGACATGCCTGTCATGGACGCTGTCAAGCGCCAGACCGAGACCCCCCGCGCCGACTGGCCCGTGAAGGGCCTGACGACCACGATGCGGGTGCTCCTCTTCATGCTCCGCATGGCGGGCGGGGCGACGGCGTGGCTCGACCGCTGGATGGTCATAAAGCAGGCCTCAGAGACGGACGACACCGACAGGCTGTACGAGACGCTGCGCCGTGTCGTCGAGACCTCGCGCTGCCACGAACAGCGGATCATCTGCGAGCTGTCTTCCTACGAGTTCCTATCGCGGCAGCTGCTGGTGGTGGAGGAGCGCTTCTTTGAGGAGCGCGCGCGCAGGACTCACCCTGCGCCCAAGGCCAAGGGCCAGGCCAAGGACGGCGCCGCGGCCGCGGCCGCCGACGTTTCCTCCGAGATTGGCCACTTCCTCGGCACTGGAGAGACGATGGGCAATTTGTGCATTGTCCCACCCGTAATGGATTGGATCGCTGAGCAGATGAAGAGGGAGGCTGCCGTTGCGAAGGAACGCCGCAAGGCTCGCGAGGAGCGGGCCTTGCGGCAGCCATGACGTTCCCGAAGGACGCTGGTCAGGAGGGGCCTCACGACGCGCCACCTGCTCGTGGGCCTGGCCAGCTCGGCCCCGAGCCCGTCGAGGCTCCACCTGGCTTGGAGTTGCCCACGCGAGGTGACCATCGCCAGCGTGACGTTTTTTCCGCTTCCTCTTCTTCCAGTGGATGGGCGTCGCCATCTTCCGCTTGGTCGTGGGGCTCGTCTGCGCGCCGCCAAAGGCGCGGGCTGGAGAGAGTGGTGCAACGAGGGATTGTCTGCTCTCAACTGGCTCCACTGCGGCAAAGGACGAGCCTTCCATGCCTGACGAAGGGGGGCCACCGCCCGCGGCCCAGGCAGCCTCCGTGGACTACATCGCGGGATTGCACCGCGACTTCGAGCTGCCCGCCGCCTACTCGGAGAGAGGCCGCGATTGCGAAGCATCCCTCGTAGAGATGCTCGCACAGGCACCTGGCTACGCTGGTGACAGCGGTCGAGTGCGCCCCTACAGCATGCCGCTTGTGGCCTGGCCCGAGTCGACGAAGGCAGTCTCCACCTGCGGCGTCGTCTCCGACGCCGACTCCATCGTGCTGCAGGATTGGAGGCAGAGTATGCTGAATCCCGAGTCGGTGGCGGCGGAGCTGCGCGATTCGCTGGGGGTTATCCGCCCCTATGTTGATCCTGAGCTGCGCTTTAAGCCGAAGTCCTACGCTGAGTTTTTGAAGCAGCTGGAGGCCCACGGCATGATCACCTGGCGGGTCTCCAGCGAACAGGCATCCTTCTCTACTGGTCTCTTCTTCGTGCAGAAATCAAACGGCAAGCTGAGGTTGGTGTTCGACACCAGGCTGGCCAACCGCAGTTTCTCGTGCCCACCAGCCACTCGTCTGCCCACGCCCAGCGCGCGGGCCAGTCTTGACTGCGACGACAGTTTTCATTTCGCGCAGGGCGACATTCAGTGTGCTTTTTATCATTTACGACTGCCAGCTGGCATGGAGTCGCTGTTCTCTCTGCCTCCGATAAACAACAGATTCGTCGGCCTCAAGTCGGTCAACGGGGTTCGTCTTGGCATCAACGACTGCGTCCAGCCTCTTGTCACGGTCGTTCCCATGGGGTGGAGTTGGGCCCTTCGCCTGCGCCAGGGTGCGCTGACGAGAGCCCTGTCGGATGTCGGGTTCGGCCGCGACGATATGATTCTGGATGGGGGCTGCCCTCGGCCCTTGGTCGCTGAGAAGGACGCGGTGTGTGCAGGATACGTCGACAACTTCTGTGTCGTATCCAAGTGCGCCGAGACAGCCACGTCCCTGGCGCGTGCCGTTGCTGACCTTCTCACGGCCCGCGGGCTGCCTGTCTTGGAATTCTCCCCTGCGGTCAGTAAGGGGGTATTCACGGGCTTGGAGATCGACGGAGCCCCTGGGATCATTCGTGTGCGTCCTGACCGCCTCGCTCGCACTCGTCAAGCCGTTCTCGGGCTTTTGAAGCGTGGGCGGGCCTCTGCTGGGGCCCTCAGCGTGCTCGTAGGCCACTGTGCATGGGGGATGATCCTGAGGCGCGACGTTCTGAGCATCTTTAACGCGGTCTATCGGTTCATGGGGGCTGCGGGACCTCATCCTGGACCCCTGTGGCCCTCGGTCGTCAGGGAGTTGTCGGCTGCCGTGGCCCTCATCCCGCTCTGGAGTGCCTCTACAAGGTCTCGCTGGTATTCGCGGGTCTATGCTTCTGAGGCGTCGCCGTACGGGAAGGGTGTCTGTGTCAAGGAGGTCTCCCCCACGCTGTCGTCCGAGGTCGGCCGAGTCGCCGAACGCCCGAGATATCGTCATGGGGATGCCGTGCTTGCCAGATCACATGCCCTTGACGTCGACGGTCGAGACGATGCTGCCGACGGTTGCCGTGCCGACACATCGTCTACTGCCTCTACTGCTTCGTCGTCTGGGCCCAGTGGGTTCCTCGAGGTCCCTGAGTCCATCTACGGGGCCGAGGGTTGGAAGACCATGCACTCTAGCCGTCATGCCCGCCGTGGTTGCGATATCCTTCAGTACGAGGCGGAGGCCCTGGGGTTCAGCGCCCATCATGCCTCGAGGGCCCTGGGTGCTCATCATCATCGCGTCGTCTGCATCGTGGACAATTTGGCTTTAGCTCTGTCGCTCGGCAAGGGGCGGTCTGGGAGCCGACATCTTCTCCGCGCCCTGCGGCGGATCGCTGGCGTGGCCCTCGCCTGCGGCCTGCGCCCGCTCGTGCGGTGGGTGCCGTCAGAGAGGAATGTCGCGGACAAGCCGTCGAGGGAAGGTTTCTTCGTCGGCCCTAGCTTCGAGGGCGTCGGGTCGTACCTCGTCGCGCGCCGCCCGCGGATCCCCCAAGGATGTGATCAAGGCTGCGAGGGCCAGGCGGGAACATCCTGGTCCGCTGACGCTCCTGCGGGGCGGACTGTCGGTGCTGGAGGCCAACGCGGTCTCGGAGTCGACGGGCAAGAACTACCAGGCCTCCGCCCTCAGGTTTCTGAACTGGTGCCTCTGGACCGCCAGGGACTTCAAGAACAGCGTCGAGCTCGACACGATCCTCGTGGTGTTCTTCGTCCACCTCTTCCTCGACGGGTACGACAGTGCGACGGGCCGCGTCACGATGGCCTCTCTGAAGCACCATCTGCCGTCGATGCTGATGGGCAGCCGCCCGCTGCCACGGGCCTTTCGGGCCCTTCAGGGTTGGGCGAAGCTCGTGCCGCCGCAGGTGAGGCTGCCGCTGCCGAGGGTCGCGATGTTCGCCATCGTGGGCGTGCTGCTGTCTCAGGGGCTTTTGTCGCAGGCGGTCTTCGTGATGATCGCGTTCGACACGTACCTCCGCCCCAGCGAGGCCTACCGTCTCACGGCGGCCTCCCTGATCGCGCCGAGGTCGGGCGCCACGGAGGGCTACCAGCACTGGGCTCTGTTGGTGAACGACGCGGCGAGCGGGAGGCCTGGCAAGACGGGGGTCACCGACGAGAGCGTCATCGTCGACGATCCTCTCCTCTGGCCTCTCCTCGAGGCGCTTCGGCAAGGACGCCGCGCGGAGGAGAGCCTCTGGGCCTTCACGCCGCACCAGCTGCGGCGCGCTTTCGCGGAGGCCCTGGTCCAGCTCGGGATCTCCGACCAGCAGACCTCCCTCTACTCGCTGCGCCACGGGGGGGCCTCCGACGACCTCCTCTCGGGTCGCCGCACGAGGAAGGAGGTCAAGGGCCGCGGCAGGTGGAGGACGGACCAGTCTCTGAACAGGTACGCCAAGCGGGCGCGCATGCAGCAGCGGCTGGGTCAGCTCGACCCCGCGCTGGTCGACTTTGGGCAGAAGGTCGAGAGGGATCTGCTGGGCCTGATGGACGTGATGGCGAGGACGGGCATCTTCTCGCTGCCGCTGCCGCCCCTCAGGCCGGTGTCGGCGTCGGCGCCGGTTCAGGCGCCTCCCGCGATGACCGACAAGTGGCTCTTCGTGTGAGGCGCCTGTGGCTACGTGCGCGGGCGCATGCCACAGTGATGCCGTACCTCATCATGCTCTGCACCTGTGTCCCCGACCGAGTTCGGCGAGTGCGCGAGGCCCGCGGGCTCGGCACCGTTGCTGTGAACGTTGCTCGACATCGCCTCGACGACCTCGCTGACCCTCAGGTTCTGAAGTCTCTGACTGGCTGGGTGCGCGCCTCGGCTGTGCTCGGAGTCTGGGCGTCCTTGCCCTGGGACACCTGGGCGCCAGGGGCGTCGCGTGTCCGCAAGGTTGATTCTCTGCTGCACGTGAATAGAGCCTCAGAGGCCGCCTGTCGCGCCGTGCGAGTGGCAAACGCGTTGGCTGAATCCGCCTGCAAATTGATTGCGGAGTGTATCTTCCGCAGAGTCCCGATCATCTTTATGCACCCTGTGTCGAGCCTCATTTGGAGGCATCCCCGCCTGTCCCCTCTCCTTGCCTCTTCCTCCTCCTCCTGCTCCCTCGACGCGTGCATGTATGCGGGGCGCGTGAGACAGCGACTCCACCTCGTCGGATGGAGCGTGCGGGATCTTGATTGCCTCGCTCGTCGTTGCCTCTGCGCCCATGGCCTCTGCGATCGCACTCTGAGACGTCACCTGGGAGGCCTGGGGCGTCCAGCACTGGGCGCCGTAGCTCGTGCCTCTGCTAAGGGTCTCCCCTCGGAAGTGGCCATTGCTGGCGCTGAAATGATAGTGGCCGAAGCTCGTCATCTGTCCCGCGCCGCGAGATATAAGAAAATGTTTGGTCAATGAGTAATTCGGCTGTGGCCGCCTGGGTAGACTAGCGTGTGGTGCCGTGTCTGTGCTTCACTGCGGGCGTATCCCTCGTGGCCGCCCTCCGCCGTTTGCACAAAGAAGAAACAAGATGGCCCCGATTCGTCCACATACAGCGACTTGTCGGCATTTGTGGCAACGCCGCGGCCGTATTCCCTTGCTCAAGTTCTACCCTGGGCCCCCCCACCCACTTGAGCTTTTAATGTTTCACCGTGTCTGTGCTTCACTGCTGGCGCATCCCTCGCGGCCGCCCTCCGCCGTATGCACAAAGAAGAAACAAGATGGCCCCGATTCGTCCACAGTATTGTTATGGTTGGGCGGAGGGCGCGAACAACAAAGCATGGAAACACACCTAAATGCCATGTCTTGAGTTGAAGATGCATGTCCACAGAAGCGAGGGCTAAATTTGCCGCGCGTTCCGTGTCTTCATCTCCCAGAGCTTGTGGTAAGGAATTCTGGCTTACTGTGTCACGCCGCTGGTTCTGGTCCGCCACGCCTCGGCGCGGCACGCTATTCGCGCCCCGATTCCCACGCGTCAACTTCTCGAGCATTTTCCAGCTTCGCGCCCGCGGAGCGGAACGACACGCTATGCGTTTGCAGGGCATAGCGTGTCGCATGGGCCGTCGCCGCGATGCGCTACACGCAAGTTCAAACACCGTAGGGGGGAAGGGCCTTGGCGGCCACTTCTGGCCGACCCGTCTGTCCTGGATGATGACGGGCTACGGCAAGGTGTGTGTGTGTGTGTGTGTGTGTGTGTGTGTTTTTAGCCTCCGCTTTCGGAGCAGATGTTGCGGATGTCTCGAGCGAAGCGCTGGTTTTCGCAAGCCCAAAGGGGGGGCGCCAAGGGGTACCTCATTCTTCCGTTCGCGCCAAGTGGCGGGGATGTCCCGAACGGCTTGCTTGTGTGATGCCCCATCATCCTCCGCTTTCGGAGCAGATGATGAGGATGTCTCGAGCGAGGCGCTGGCTTTCGCACCCCAGGGGGCCCAGATTGTGAACATGCCCCAGATTCACTTATGCCCAAACTCACTCGTGTTCAGATTCATTCATGTTCAAGCTCGTATGCATCATATTCCTATTCAGACTCACACCTAGACTTGTACACGCGTAGATGAATTCAGCCCCACCCACCCTCAGACCCACTCGTACTCAGACTCACTCGTACTCACACCCACCCAGATTCAGTTTCGCACTCATTATGCTCATGCTCAGACGCACTCACACTCAGACTTACTCACACTCATAATTACTCGCACTCAGACTCACCCGCCTTCAGATTCACCCTTGGCCAGACTCACTCGTATTCAGACCCATTCAGACTCAGACTGGTTCTTGTTACGCGCATATGTATATTCACTCACACCCAGACTTAACCACAGTCAGACTCACTCTCCCTCAAACTCATTCATTTTCAGATTTGCTCATTCTCAGATCCAGTCGTACCCATACTCTCTCATACCGAAACTCACTGGCACTCACACTCAACCGTACACAGGTTCATTCACATTCAAACTCACTCACACTCAGATCATTCATGCTCAGATTCACTCAGTCTTCTCCCCTTTGGTTTTCCATGCCCCCTCGCTTCTCCACTTGTGCTTCCCTCACCTCTCCTGAAAGATGCCCACTGAAATTGCTGATGTCGTGTATGGAAGCTGAACTGGGGCTGCCAGTCCTCAAAACCAGATGTGTTAGCCAGCAAGGCCAGCCCAGCGATGAACATCATCAGGGCCACATGAGATCCCATTGGCGCCAGAGTCGGCCAGATGATCAGCTCGATCGTTCAAATATTGCCCAGTGTGGCCTTCCACCTTTCTGAAAACAATCTGAGAAGCAACCTGATCAAAGATATGACGAACACGAAGAACAAGCCGAAGGTTCGTCCTCCCCCGGGTCCGCCGCTGAGCCACGCCGGCCGCGTATTCCGAGTCATACTCGATGATGATAGGTTGTGAAGTTGGCATCAAAGCAATATGATCACGAACCCAAGACCAAGCGAAACATAAAGCAGACAGTTCACCTCCAGGTTCAATCGGGTCCAGGATGGTAGGCCCACAGTAGTCCCGGAGCGAGAAAGAAGAGGAGGAGGCAACAGTGAAGCCCCACCCAGACACGTCTGTATTAGGCCCGGCGGTCGCCGAATCATCGCAAGAAAGTACGAGGGCCTCGTGTACTCGAAGCTCTCCTGGGGCAGGCTGCTGAGGAAGTTTGCCCCCTCGCTGGCCTGCCGGAGGTCCTCCCCCTGGCCAGCCGCCTGCTGCCAGCGGCGCCCGCTGCTTGATGCGGGGCAGAGGTGGAAGACCAGCACGATATATATATATATATATATATATATATATATATGTTCCACTGGTTGGGAACGGCACTGATCCAATTCAAGCATAACTGGTTGTTGGTGACGCTCCGCGGCACAAGCCAAAGTAGCAATGGCGTTCACGTGCAGAAGGTACTCCGAGATGTACTTCGCCTCCACCAAGGACGGCGTTGTGCCTGCTCCCAGACCGTGTGGGACCAGTCCGCGCCGTGCCAGGCAAGGGGGAAGACCGTCAGGATCAGTATTCCCAGGTACGCGTGCATCAAGCACGCCGCGTGCAGCCGCATTGCACGGGCAGCTCCACTAACGGTGCATGGTGGTCTCGACCGCTCCCTTGCAGCGGACGCAGATCTCGTCGCCGTTGTGGTTCGGGATGCGGGTCTTGCTCAGGGAAGTCGAGATACCGCCGGTGGTGAGCGCGGGGCCGCCGTAGTGCAGCTGCGCGCCGAACATGTGCTCTCGTGCCTCACGCACCTCGGAGAGACCGTGGTGCAGGCCGCCGAAATCCTTCGGCCGGCGTGCGGCCTCCCGCTCAGCAAGGCAGCGCCGCAAGAAGACACGCAGGTCGTGAAGTCGAGCGTCTACCCGAGCAGCTTTGCGCAGTCGTGGATAATCGCGCCGGTCAGCTTGGGCAAGCAGCTCGGGGCGAATGCTGAAAGTGAAGGCGTAGTGGGTGCTCTTGAAAGACGTGGAGGCATGCCATTCAACGCCCTGCGCCCGACAAACTCGATCCAACAGAGCGAATGGTCCCAATTTGTGGCGTCGTCGCTGTGCCCACACAGAGCGCCACACACTCAAAGGTACAATGTTGGCCAAGACGACCCTGTAGAACATGCGGATCGCCGTGCAGACAACCGCACACGTCAAGTGCGTTCGGTGTGCGCCCGGCCCAAGCAGGTGGGTGAGGTCACGCGATCTCCGGCCCACTCGGCCCGGCGATGCATTGCCCATCAACGATACGGCGGCCCAGGCCGGTGCGTCCGACATCTGTGTCTTCGTAAAAGCATAGCCGCCGTCGTACCAGAGCGCCGCCACGGCGTCGGCGACACCAGCGCCGCGCTGTGTCTGTGGTAAGATTTGACGACGTCCACTCGTTTTCGAAACTGCTGCAGGCGTCTAGCAGCGACGGGCACTGCCACCGGTGAGCCCAATATTCGATCAATCCCAAGATATCTGAAGGTACGCGGTAGAGGAATAACTCGCAGCTCGGGGATACCGCACTCGAGGGCGCGCGTCCCTGTGGCCGTGACCACCCCGCGGGCGCATTTCGGCACGTTCAAGTTTGGGCTAATGGCACGGTCAATCTCGCGTGTGGCTGCCAGAGCATGTGCGAGTTCTTGCCACGAGTGAGCCAGAATGAACCTGTCGTCGAGGTAGGAAAAGAGCGTTGCCGTGGGGACCGCCCGCTCTACTGCCAAGTGCCACATGATTGAAGTTAAGTTACACAGAAAGCACGCCATAAGACAGCCCTTCGGAACGCCGACGAGGTTGTCGCCCTGCAGCACGACGTCCGTTGGCTGGTAATTAACGAACAGAATACGGGATAGGTTCTGGTAGGTCCGCAGGACGTGCCTGCAGATGTCCAAGCCAAGGTGGTTGGTCAGCTCCAGCAGGTTGTGCAAGTCCAGCCGGTGGTAACACTTCTCTAAGTCCAGGGACAGCACGTAAGCTGGGTCGGTTTGCGCCACGCGCGCCTGCGCCAGCTTTGCTTGTTGCAACTCCCACAATACGTCCGGACACGAAAGTCGAGGTACTGTTCCTGCCAAGCCGGCTGGTTTCCACTCCAGCAGCCATTGTGTCAGATGGGCAGTATGGCGTCGGGTGCACAATCTGTAAGTAACAGGTAAGACAGTGAGCGGCCGACGGTCTTTTGGGGGCGACTCTGGCCCTTTCGGGATCAGAATAACCCGACCCGTGTCCAGAAGCCAGGCAGCCTGCCAGCGTCCGCCGCGGTCGGGAGCAGGGCGAGGCGGTCCAGGGAGTCCTTGTGCAGGTTCTCCAGCCAGTCCACAGACTGGCCCTCGATGCCGCTAGCGCCGTCGGGCAGAAACTCTAGGATGCGTTCGGCGCACCAAGGCCCGAGTGGGCGATATGCCGGCACAGATGGCAATAGCGATAAATCGAATCGCTGGCGCCCAAGGCGTGCCGGAGGGGCCTGGCGTTCACGAGGAAGACCAGGGTCAGGGTGGTAGGTGCGTAATCTGGAAGACGCCGGCGTTCCACCGCCTGGCGAGCCCCCCATTGAGTTTCCGGGCCAGCTCTCGTGGAGACATGACCTTGGCGCCTGGAACCAAATCAAATTCAAGAAGAACTGGCCGGTGCTGAGAAGCCGCCACTGGTGGGAGGGCAGTCGCCGAAGCAGCTGCGGCGAGGCGCGTGGCGACCACGGCGCCGTCGATGGTCGTGGCCCAGTTGTCGTAGTGCGGGTTCAGCCGGTACGTGGGCACAGCAGGGAATACCGATACCAACCCATCGCCATCGTAGTGCACCGGAAGCTCGTTGAAGTCCCCGATGCCCATCGTGAGGGCGTCCGGCCGCTCGGCGCAAAAATTTGCATCATAAAGACGCCGTTGTTGAGCAGAACCAGAATGAGCATGTCTATGACGGAGAAGGACGCGATGCTCTCCAAGCTGCAATGCGAGACGCTGTGCCCGGAAGCCCTCGTCACTCGTAGTGTTGGCCACTGGAGCTGCATTGAGGCCGTTCCGGACGATAGCACAGAGGCCGTTCCGGCCTACACAAAGATAATAACCCATCGTGCGAAGATCATTACGTAAGATGTGGTGCACCCCAATTGCTGAAGTCGTCTTCGTCGCCGTCTTCGTTGCCGTGATTGTGTTGGCGTGTCTTTTTTCGTGTTGCGTGCGTAAAGAAATAGACGCAAGGACGTCAGGGCTGGCCACGTGGTGCAACCCAACGGCTGCGACGGGCGGCGACGAGGCGGCGAGGGGGCGGCGACGGGGCGGCGACCCGCCATACCGAAGACACGGCCCAGACGACGGACGGCGACGAGGCGGCGACGGCGGCCACATAGCCGCCAAACCGAAGACACGGCCCAGTTCCTTAGAACAGAAGTGAGTTTCCCTACGGTGGGGACGTTTGTCAAGGAATAGTTCCAGGAGGCGTCAGACCCTGGATGATGCCGTATCTGAGGAGGGCGGCGGCGATAGCCATGGCCAATCCAAGATTGGCGTTCAACCAGCTTCCAGACCTTGGATTATTTGTCCATTGGTTCCGTATCCTGTGCCCCCACAGTAAGTGCAAGCACTGATCGGGGGAAACATTGGACGCGAGGGTGTCAAGGCTGTCCCATGCGCTCGCCGAGCCGGGGGCGGCACGCCGCGCCGCCAGCGTCGTGGCGGCCGGTGCGCTGACCCCCCTCCCCGCCGCCCGTGGGAGCTGGGGTGGTCGTGAAACGACGCGAAGATCGGGACAAAATCGGATCGGGATATCTCGAAATCTCTGAGAATCGGCGGGTTTGGAGGATGTATTGGGCGCCGCGGCCGCTCCAGAGCGTTCCGGAACGCTCTGAGAGCGCTCCGGAACGCTCTGGAGCGATTTATCCCGACCCTAGCCCTGTTGTAGGTCGCCCCCGCGGGCGCAGCGTCCCGAGGGGCCCCCATCCATCCTCCGCCCGTCCTTCCCCCCTGTCGTCCTCCCTCTCGTCCTTCTGCTCGTCGTCCGCTGCCCTTCTCCTCGTCGTGCTCCTCGTCGTCTCCGCTGGCCTTTTATACCCGAGGAGCCCCCATCCCTCCTCCCCGGCCACACGCAGGGACGGGTAGGGGGAGGGGGGACGGTTCTTTGACAAGTACACAATCTGAATACTACCCTCCTCTCTCTCCTGAGTCTGTGCAGAAGATGGCCAGCACCCCTCCGCGTATTCACTGTTCAAACACAGGGTAGCCGGGAGTTTGGTTATGATTTGTGTTTTCGACAATCCGATTCTTGTCGGTCTTTCAAAATGTTGCTCCCGCTGCAGCGCTGGCCCCATTTCTGCGCCTTTGGTCGTTCCAAATCGTGCTACCGCTGCATCTTTTTGAGGATCAGGCGGGAACCCCGTTTGTGCTTTGAGGAGGCGATGTTGAAAGCGGAGCCAGCGGGCGCTTTCTATCAGCCCCGCCTCATGGGGAGCTGTCCGGGGAGCCCAGGGAGCTGAACAGGGAGCCGCGACTTCAGACCGGCCCAGGCCCCTCGAAGACAATCAACTCCAAGGAACTTGGTGCCATGCCATCACATGCAGCGCGGTGTTGTGTTCTGTGCCGCTGTGCTATGCCATGTTTTGCGTTGCAATGCTTTGTGATGCGTTGCTTCATTACGCAATGCCACGCCATGCTATGACATGACATCTTCCGCCGTGCGCTTCTATGCCAAGCTATGCCGCGCTCTACCATCCATCGCGTACCCTCTCGGGATCATTGCCTTGCTCGGCATTCGGTTGTGCCAAAAGAGAGGCTATCTGCGCCATGGAAAGGGATGGAAGGTCGGGGTATGACCTCAGATGCTGCGCGAGCGCACCTTGCTTGGAAGCACCCCTCCTCCCCAAACACCCTTTGTGCGCGCCGCCAACCTCCACTCGTCCTCCCCCCTCCCCTCTCGTGCTCCATCTGGTCTTTCCGCTCGGGCTAATCGTGCTCCGCTGCCCTTCTCCTCGTCGGGCTCTCTGCCCTCGTCCTCCTTCACGTCCTCGTCTTCCTCCGCCGCCGTCTCATCCTCCCTCCTGCTCTTTGCCCGTGAGGGGAGGAGTGAGCTCACCTCTCTCGACCAGCTCCCTCCCGAAGAGGAGTTGTGGGCTCTTTTCATGCGTCGTTGGACGAGGGGCCTTCCGCCCTATATTGTCAGTCTCAGTCTCAGCCTCCTCCTCGCTCCTACCCTTCCTCCGCCTCCTCTCGTCTGTCGGCGATGTACCGACGATGTATCCGCGACGGCAGGCTATTGCGTCTCCTTTTGGGCTTCCCCCCTCGGACTGGGATAAGGATGGGTTGGGGAGGGGGCTGTGGGTAAGGAGGCAGAGCAGGATGATGAGTAGGGGGATGAGGATGGCGAGTCGGAGGATGGGTGAGGTCTAGAAGGTTGTGTATGTTGAGGGGGATGGGGATGGATATACCTTCCTCACAGGCACATGCTTGTCGATGATGGTAAGCTGCTGCTTACTGCCTTCATGTTCGGCCTGGTGATCTGGACCATCATGAGCTGCCTCTATTACCTGTCCAACAGAACCAGCACAAATGAGTTAGCCGTGTGGGAAGTAGCTCGGTACGAAGACAGAAGCGAATGTCAAAAGGAAGACGGCTCGGACGACAAGGATTGCGAAGGGAAAATCATGGGCTGGAAAAAGTTCGAGTCCATACCGTCCACGATGTGGTACGTCCTCATAAACTTGTGCAAGGAACACCCACTGGCCGATGCGCACGTCGATTTCTGGCAGCGCCTTTGGTGCATCATCGTGTGTATTTTCGCGATGCCGCTATTCGCGCTGCCCACGAGTGTTCTGCAGTATGCGTTGCTGAAGCAGAGGTCCACAGACGACGACCCGAGTCGCTTTAGCTCATCCGTGGATCTCGATGTTTCCTTCTTCGGCCTCCAGCCCGTTTATGGCGGTCTGGTAGCAGGCTCCCTAAGCTTCTTCTCGATAGTGAGCTGGTTCTTTTACACTGCCCGCGGAACAAACCACGACTCTTTCTTTCTCATCCCGGTCCACATCGGGTCCACGGCCCTAGCATGTGTGGATGGAGTAGTCGCTTTCATCTTCATGTTGGAGTGGGCGGACCATCTGCGCAGACATGGGCGCGCGTATGTCGTAACGCTGCACGCTTGCATTGACCTGTTTGCGTGGTTGTCCGCCATCCCGCACATCTGCCTCTTCGTCTCAGGCTCGACCCCGGTGAGCGACTGGATACTGGCACTCTGCTTAATTCGCGTCTTCAAGACGGAGCGCTATCTACACAGCTTCCGCGACCTCAGGCAGGTCGCCTACGAGAGCAGGGGCATTCTGGTTGCGGCCCTCTTCTTCTCCGCCTTCGTGTGGATGGCGTACTCGCATGGGTTGTACGTCACCGAGCGCTATCAGTATGATACGGAAATGGTGGAGTCATATGGGTCTTTGATGCGTTCGCCTTGGGCAGAGGTCATTAACCTGCACGGAGAGTGGCCTTGGGCAGACTATTCCATCCCGGGCAAGGGCATAGCGACAGGCGCCTGCCTCTTCAGCATCATGCTCTTTTGCATTCCGATTTCCATCATCGGCCAGGGGATGCTCCGCAAGATGATCGAAGGACACGACGCCAACGACAACGCCGATTTCGACCGTCGTTGTTGGCAGGCGCACTGGCAGCCGCAGACCGCCGGGCTCCAGCGGCAGCTTTACGACTTGTTCTTCGAGCAGGTGCACCTGCCAGAAGGCAGCCGCCCGTCCGTTCCGTTCCGCCTGGCCCGGGCCTTGAGCTTCGTTGCCGTTGCGGCGTCGACGTTCATCGTGTGCGTGAACACGGTGGACGAGAGCGAGTTCGGCGGCCAGTTTGGCACTATATTCTGGGCATGCTACGCGGTGGACTGGTTAATCATCGGCTTCTTCATTGCAGAGTTTGCTGCAAGAACAGTGGCACTTGGGTGGCGCCACCCAGCATCAATATTTGGGATGCTCCAGCTGTTTTCGCTCTTCGCTGAGTTGTGGACCCTCAAGCCGAGCCTCCGTAAAGAAGCATTTCATCCAGAGTACGGCAACGGGGCACTCTTGGAGGACATAATCGTCCCGATGAGGTTGTTGCGTCTCTTCACTTTGGAACAGTACATCTTCTCGTTCCATACACTGAAGAACGTCTTGTACCTCAACCGGAAGATGCTCGCTCGCAGCGGAAGCGTGATGGTCTCAACGTGGTTCTGCCACGCTACGATTCTGTATCTGTTCGAGCACGATTTCACGGGCGATAAACTGCAGGACCATCGAAAGGGTGAGGGCTTGATGCGCCATGGACGGATGAGGTTATCATTGGTTGGTGGTGGGCAGGGAATGACAGGGATATATAAGAATGCGTATCCAGACTCGAATCCTGGGCATGCGTTGTATGATCATGCCTGGAAGCATCTTTGCATCTGCTTTTGCAAGGCGTCCGAGGAATTGTTTCCAATTGCCTCTGACAATCTCCGTAGACAACTCTGCCTATGAACTTTTTCCAAGTGCCTAGGCCCGCTCGGGGCCCTCGTGAACCGTCTTACAGGCCTCTTGGGGACCTTGGGGGCCGTCTTTGGGCAATATTTGGGGCCTCTGGGGCCCTCTTGGAGCGTCGGGAGCCCAAAAAGCTAAAACCATTCAAACACCTGCAACTAATCAATCATTGATTGTGACCTCCCGGAAATCTCTTGGAGCCCTCGTGGGGCGTCCTGGGGGCTTGTTGGGCTGTCTGGAGGACATCAGGGGCCGGCGGGGCCGTCTTGGGGCCATCGTGGCCGTCTTGGAAGAGTCTTGGGACCGTCTCGGAGACCATCTGAACCCCGTCTCGGAGGCTTCTTGGAGGCCATCCTGGCCGTCTTGGAGGCCGTCTTGAGGCCATCTCTGGGGGGCAGACCACCTGAAGGCATCCTTAAGAAGAGCCCGAACAACTCGGAAGTCCAGCACGCCGTGCGCCCCTGTGGCAAGACCACAGGGGGCGGCGGATATCGGAGACCGCCGACGGCGAATCACCGTCGCCCCCCTCCCGTTTGGAAACGCCCATGCGGCCAAACGTTGGGCCGAAGTCTGGTTAAGCTATTGGGCTATATATGTGCTTCCCCAGCCGTTGTGAAACCCATGGGGGGAACACTTGGGCGTCAAAAAAGAAAAGAGGAGGAGAGGGAGGAGAAGGAGGACGAAAAGGAGGAGGCTAAGGTTAAGCGCATTAGAGGCGAGTCCGAACGGTGGCCCCTGTACAGGAGCCCGTGGGCTTTCAAGTGCCTCTGCAGATGTATGGGTGCGGCGCCACTGGGACCTTCGGTGGAGCTCCCTGCGGGGCCACGAAACTTTCGTACTGGGCGCAGGAACCGCATGCGAACTGCGCCACTGGGACCTTCGGTGGAGCTCCCTATTGGGCCACGAAGCGCTGTACTGGGCGGGGGGAGGCAGGGATGGGAGGAGGGAGGGGGAGGAGGGGGACGAGGAGAAGAGGGGAGGGTAGAGGAGGAGGAGGAGGAGGAGGAGGAGGAGGAGGAGGAGGAGTAACGCGGGGCGCTGTCTCTTCAAAACGAGGACCCAACACCACAGGATGGTTAGGAAAAGTTGCGGATTGTGCCACATGGTTATCACATTCTGCCAAACGGGCCTCTCGCGCCGCATGGCGAACTCATTCGAACGCCCTTGTGCACGTGCCGTGCTGGGGGGGGGGGAAAGGGAACGGTCCTCGTCAAATCATACCACGCGGCCCACTCGAGCGCGCGTCGGCCGCGCGCGCATGTCGAGCTCCTTCATCGCCGACGCGAGGACATCGTCATCGTTACCGGCGGGCGTGATCAACATCGGCGCCGTCATTGGCATTGTCGCCGTCATCGCCACCATCGTCAACATTATCGCTGCTCCCATAGTCGTGTCTACCGTTGTCGGCGTCGCCATGATACCATGCCCGTCCAACTCACCGCCTCGCACTGACGTGCCCGATGCGAAGTGCCCAGCGTTCAGCGCCACCGCGACAACGTCGGTCGCGCCAAACTAGCTAGCCGCTGCGCACGCGAGCATTCGCAGGCCAGCGCGGCCGCAGATCTGCACCAGCCAACGCCAAGCACTCATCGCAATCGTCACCGCATGGCTGTTGCAAACCAAGTTGCGGGTGGGTGGGTGGGATGTTTGCAAGAGCATGAAATGTGTCATCAGAAATCAGCCGCATAACATCGACTGCACCAAACACAGTGCACCACATATATCCCCCTTTCTAAAAAGAGAATAGACTCTACCCCCCCGACTTATCGCCCCCCTGGGATATTATGATTTCATATATATATATATGTATATATACACACATTCATATATATATATATATATATATATATATGTATATGTATATGTATATGTATATGTATGTATGTATGTTTGTTTGTGTGTGTATATATATATATATATATATATATATATATATATTCTGCACACTCGTTCATCCTAAATGAGAAATCGTACCATCCCAACCAGGCCGGGTTCCCCCCCTGAGGTTCCCGTGTTTTTCAAAGTATGAGGTGACATGTATTGTTCTAACATAATACTTTCTTTTTTTCACAAATCCCTTGCAAACAAACTGGGCGAAGAGCACACGCGCGCGTCGTCGCGCGCGCATGCCGAAATCCTTCAAAAACCTTCGGTGCGGGAAGGATTGCGCAATCGAGTTCCCCAAAAAACATACAAAAACACATTGTTTCGCAACACTGATTTGCTATAAAAAAAAACGCTTCCGCGCGAGCTCTTTCGAAATCTTAAGAAAACCACGGTTTTTCAAGATTTACACAAAATGCTGCCAAACGGGCTTCGCGCGCGCATGTCGAAATCTGTCTAACGCCCTTGCGCGTGTGCCGTCGCGAGAATCCTCTGCAGAAAAACGGGACGAAGTGCAGACGCGCGCGTCGTCGCGGGCGTATGTCGAAAACCTTCAAAACTCACCGGTTTCGGAAGGATTTCAAAATCGTACGTCCATAGGACCTAAAATTAGCCTGGCGAAGGACCCAACCATATGCAGTTGTGAATGCCGCAATTGTGCTGGGTGGTGGCGGACGCATGCGGGCGGTGCCACTGGGACCTTCGGTGGAGCTCCCTATGGGGCCACGAAACGCTGTACTGGGTGGGTGAGGCGCGGTCAGCAAGGGCTGTGCTGCGTGGTGGCGGACGCATGCGAGCGGTGCCACTGGGACCTTCGGTGGAGCTCCCCATGGGGCCACGAAGCGTTGTATTGGGTGGGTGAAACGCATGCAGGGAGCAAGGGCTGCGCAGGGTGGTGGCGGAAGCATGCGGGCGGTGCCGCTGGGACCTTTGGTGGAGCTCCCTATAGGGCTACGAAGCGCTGTTCTGGGTGGGGGAAGCGCAGGGAACAAGGGCTGTGCTGGGTGGTGGCGGACGCAAGCGGGCAGTGCCATTGGGACCTTTGGTGGAGCTCACTATGGGGCCACGAAACGTGCGAGGGGTGTGCCAGAATGGGGTGTGGAACCGCATGCCGCCGCAGCCACTGGGGCCTTCGGTGGAGCCCCCTATGGAGCCACGAAACGTGAGGGGTGTGCCGAAATGGGGGGTGGAACCGCATGCGAGCGCAGCCTTTGCTGCGTTCGGTGGAGCTCCCTATGGGGCCACGAGACGTGTGAAGGGCGTGCCGAAAAAAAGGGTGTGACCGCATGCGAGCGCAGCCACTGGGGCCTTCGGTGGAGCTCTCTATGGGGCCACGAAGCGTGTGAGGGGTACGCCGAAATGGGGGGGGGACCACATGCGGGCGCAGCCACTGGGGCGTTCGGTGGAACTCCACATGGAGCCACCCGCGAAGCGTGTGAGGGGTGTCCCGAAATGCGGAGTGGAACCGCATGCGAGCGCAGCCATTGGAGCGTTCGGTGGAGCTCCCTATAGGGCCACGAAACGTGTGAGGGGTGTGCCAGACCGGGGGGTGGAACCGCATGCGGGCGCAGCCACTGGGGCCTTCGGTGGAGCCCCTTTATGCGGCCACGAAGCGTGCGAGGGGTGTGTCAGAATGGGGGGTGGAACCGCATGCGGGCGCTCCCTATGGGGCCGCGAAACGTGTGAGGGGTGTGCAAGAATGGGGGTGGAACCGCATGTGGGCGCAGCCACTGGGGCCTTCGGTGGAGCTCCCTATGGGGCCACGAAACGTGTGAGGGGTGTGCCAGAATGGGGGGTGGAACCGCATGCGGGCGCAGCCACTGGGGCCTTCGGTGGAGCTCCCTATGGGGCCACGAAACGTGTGAGGGGTGTGCCAGAATGGGGGGTGGAACCGCATGCGGGCGCAGCCACTGGGGCCTTCGGTGGAGCTCCCTATGGGGCCACGAAACGTGTGAGGGGTGTGCCAGAATGGGGGGTGGAACCGCATGCGGGCGCAGCCACTGGGGCCTTCGGTGGAGCTCCCTATGGGGCCACGAAACGTGTGAGGGGTGTGCCAGAATGGGGGGTGGAACCGCATGCGGGCGCAGCCACTGGGGCCTTCGGTGGAGCTCCCTATGGGGCCACGAAACGTGTGAGGGGTGTGCCAGAATGGGGGGTGGAACCGCATGCGGGCGCAGCCACTGGGGCCTTCGGTGGAGCTCCCTATGGGGCCACGAAACGTGTGAGGGGTGTGCCAGAATGGGGGGTGGAACCGCATGCGGGCGCAGCCACTGGGGCCTTCGGTGGAGCTCCCTATGGGGCCACGAAACGTGTGAGGGGTGTGCCAGAATGGGGGGTGGAACCGCATGCGGGCGCAGCCACTGGGGCCTTCGGTGGAGCTCCCTATGGGGCCACGAAACGTGTGAGGGGTGTGCCAGAATGGGGGGTGGAACCGCATGCGGGCGCAGCCACTGGGGCCTTCGGTGGAGCTCCCTATGGGGCCACGAAACGTGTGAGGGGTGTGCCAGAATGGGTGTGGGAGGGGGAGGAGGGGGGAGGAAGGGGAGGAGGAGGAAGGAGGAGGAGGAACGCGGGGCGACGTCTCTTCAAAACGAGGACCCAACACCACAGGATGGTTGGGAAAAACCAAAGTTGCGCGCGCGCTCTTGCGTCGTCGTCGTCGTCGTCGCCGTCCTCCCTCCTCCGGCGTCGTCGTCGTCGTCGTCGCCTACGTCGTCCTCTGTTTTTTCTCGTGTTCGTCGTCGTCGTCCTCTTTGGCGTCGTGGTCGTTTCCGTCGTCAGTGTCGCCGTGGTCGTCCTTCCTCCTCCTCCCACGTCGTCGTCGTCGGCCGTCGTCGGCGTCTCGTCGTCGTCCCCCTATTTCGTCGCCGTCGTCGTCGTCGTTGTCG